TGAGGCGGGCACCGCAGGTGCCAAACCAAAGTTAAGACTAGCAACTTGTCCGTTGCCAGCTTCCGACTTGCCGTCCTTGCACACCACCCTCAGCAAACTGAGGGCCATTCTGAGGGCACGACGCTTACACATCCTCCCTTTGGCTTTGCCGGCAACACTGCAATGCACCCTAGCAGCAAGAGAAGCAGCACGGTCACCTTTGCATCGCTTAGTGGCGGCAGTTTTAGGCACCAGACGCATGAGAAGAATGGTACCTCCAGGGCGTCTACGAGACGCGTCAGCCCACCTGTGAGCCCAGAACTTCGTGCGGCCTCTACTGAACCACCACTCGGCCTGTCGTAGTCGGACCCTGCGCGAGCCACACGTTGAGCGGAACCAACACGAGTCCGGCTGCGCCAAACCCTGAAACCCTGTCGTTGAGGACTTCGTTCGGTCTTGACTCCCCGAACAACACGCAACCTGCCTCTGCCCCTGCCGACAAAACGCCTGTACGGACATCGCGGTTGGTAACACTTCAAAGGTGTCGTACGAGTAGCCTTTAAGCCTCGACAACTCTCGTGGTACTCAGTCGGGAACAGCATCCCCACATCCCAACCAAAGCGGCCACAAACCACTGGAAACACAGCTCGGGGTTACAGGAAGAAAACAAACTGACGAGTCTCTCAACGGAACCGAGCGTTTCAGGATGGTTACAGAGTCCGAAAGACTGGGAACGAGTGTACCATGTGGGTAAGCCCACCCACTGCAGGTTTGTCTCCTGCATCCCTACAGGCACGGCTCTTGTGGGTAAGCCAACAAGAAACTGTTCAAAAGTGCAAGCAAGACCCGTCATCAGGTGTGAGAAGTCCAGTTGCCGAGAAAGCGCACGCATTGGGCCATGGCTGTCGCATCCTGCTTATGTTTTTTATGGGGCTGAAAGGGCGGTCAGAGGACTGATCAATGGACAGAAGCTCCGGAGATCCGCCAACTGACTCCAAGTCGGAAGCAGCAGCAAAGCAAGGCATGCAGCACAGCAGCCAGGGGAAAAGGGCTCGAAACTTTTTCTTTTGAATCGAGAGACCTCTTTAACCCAGAACTTCAGCCTCTGCTTGGCCGCCCAAGCCAAGCAGCCCCACTGCAACCACGTGCAGGTAGTTCTGCAGCAGCAGCGCCCAAAGCTGGGCTCGCCCCTGTGGAGGCTAAGGCTGAGGTGCCAGACACCTTCGCTTAAAGCCTACGCCTAAGGTCACGCAGCTGGCCCAGATGGCAGATTTCTTGACCAGTTGGTCATAAAGCTCATAGATCTCCTTGGGTATCTGCAGGGCTGCAGTCCTCCGCCTGAACTGCTCAAGATTCATGTGGTGATGCTTCAAGTGAAGCTTGTAGAGTTCAACGGGATCCTTGAGCTTTTCATGGATTCTTCTGGGTGCCAAGGGAAGTGAAGGAGCTTCTGCTGCGCAGGTTCCTCCTCAAATCTATCAGCTGGCCCTTCTCTCGAAGAAAACCATGGTTCTGGAGCCCGGTGTTCACTTGACCCAAGTGGTTTGACACCAGCGCCCTTGTCAGCTCCAGGAAACGGTTCGCCTGCTGCAGGGACGTTGGATTTTCCGAGAGGCTTGGCCTTCTTCGTTATTCTTCGAAACGGTGTATCCCTTCTGTTGAATGTTTCGAGCCACCTGTTGATGGTTCGGAAGATCCTTCTGTGGAAGGATCTGATGCTTTGTATTTTCTGCAGCCAGGTTTGTAAGTGTGTCTCCTGTGTTTTCTTGAGCAGGCAGGACAACCAGGAACATCAGGCTCGACCGTTGGGTCAGCCTTCTTGACATCTCCGGCTGCATGTGCAGAGGCTGTGGCTTCAAAAGAACGATTACTCGCATGATTTTTCTTCCAGGTGGAAGTAAATCTGAGAAGGTCTAACAGACAAGGAGAGGCGTTTTGTTGAATCCAAAGGACTCACAAGAAGCTAGGTCTGCCGTTGGACTACATTCCAGAGTCATGCGCAGATTCCGCACCTGTTCAATGGAGAACAGAATAGGCACGCGACATTGGCCAAGAACCTCAATCCTGCTGCATAGGGTGTAGGGTTATTTTTTGACACCTTTTTCCGTCTGCACTGTTTGTCGACCGACAGAGAGCCCACATAGGGCAGGCTTTGTATGGACCGGTATGGTCCCTTGGTGTAAGAGTTTAGAGGTTTAGGGTTTAGGGTGACGTGGTCTTGAACCACAGCGCGACCCCCTCCATACGAGCAGTCTCACTGTCAGCAAAAGAAAACTTGGTGTTGGAAGGTGAAAGAGAATCTTGCCGGGCGCATAGAGCTCCACCGCCTTGATCCGCCTATTGACTGCATAGCGGGAACCCATGGCACGAGTGCATCCTGGGTCAAGAATGATGCATGTAGGGTTTCGGTCAATATTGAAATGTTCGGTAAGAACAGACAGCACAGTATGCTGCATTGGGAATACTGCTGTGGCAGTTTGAAATCCACGCCCTTCTTCCTGACCTGTTGTGACAGGTATCACGGAATGGAAACTCTCGTAAGAGTTAGACACGGGATTTTTCCGCGGATTCGGATCTGTGTCTCTTCCTGATGATCCTTTTGTTCTTCTCTCGCTTCTGTTCTTTTTCCGTGCCCATCGGTTCGAGGCAAATGTTGCATGCTGCATACGAGTAAGACTGCTGCTCGCTGTATGAGGCATAGCTCCATCCTTGATCATCATGGTAGCTGTCTTCGTGCCATTCATCCCTTGTCCGGCAACGGTGGCTTCATGGGCTCGCAGGGAAGCGTTCGCTTGATCCCCTGTGGAGGATGCGGCCTTAGCCGAATCCTTTTGTTTTCCTTTCTTCACTCCTTTAAAGGGTTTTCCTTTGTCACCTGTGTCCTTTTCTTTTTTTCCTTTTCCTTGACCGTAGTAACTGGGATCGATGGATGCTCTTGACCGTCTGCCTGGTTGGCTCTCCCGTTTGAGCGAGAAGGCCTGAAACGGCGTCGTGATCTTTGCTTGCCGCCTTTTGCTCTTCCCGGAGAACCGGACGCATATGAGGTCTTCTGCTACAATTGAATCTCGTCGCACGGACGGTTTGTGTTCATCCATGACCCAGAAGAGAAGTGGTGCTATCATAAGCGGATGCTATTGTCGGTGTAAGGATGCCATATTTCTGGCTTGCGGCATAAGACGTTGGCCCTTGAAAGGTCTCGTCCTCTGAGTGTCCTCCTGAGGAGTCACGACTGTCATCACTGGGAGTGCGACGACATCGCATAGGGAAGCGGTTGGCCGGAGCCAACCGCTGTGGCGGTGTTAAGCGAGGGGGCGAGCCCAACACGGGCTCCGCTACCAAAGAAACTGCCCCCAAAAAATAGCCCCCCCCCCCCCTCGGTGGAAGGATATGGGTGCAGGTATGATCCCTGCGGATCTACACGTTCTCCTTGCCTTTGCACGCAGACAACACAGTTGGTTTTGCTACACGCAGAGAGAGCTGGTGTCTTGAAACCACTTGAGGCAGAAACGGTTACGGCGCATACATGCAAGTGTTATGTCAGTGCTGACAGCAAGTGACATGACTGTAAGTCCTGACCGCCTGGGGTCATTTAGGATTTTGGAACACACCTCCCCCTCCCACCTAAACTGAGACTATCAATAATATGCTGGTTTCTCGCCTTGGACTCCTCCCTGCTAAAAGCAAGACTAAACTCAAGCTCGCGAGGCTTCGTGATAAAGACATTATCCCCCGGCAGTAGCAAACCTCATCAAGTCATATCCTCCACTTGCCACCCTCTCTGCTGCTCTGTCAACGCGAACTAAGTTACTGACACTTCCCAGCTAAGCATGAGGTGACTGAGAGTCTCTCTCTGTCTCTTTTCCCCTCCTCCTCCTCCTGCTCCTTTCTCCGGCAAGCACGTGGAAATTCGCAGGTGCCTGGAGACACTGTCGCCGGAACTCAAAGTTGACAGCCTCTGTGTCAAATCCATCGGCTGCCAGAACCTGTCTGACTACCATGCAAAGGGCGTCTTGCAAGAACTTTCTCACACAACTTATGCCGGCCTTGGCCGCGCTGGCCACTGCCTGATTTGGCTTCCAGGGCTGTGCCCCACCGTACACAGCACATCACAGCACACATGGCTTAGTTGTGTGGGTGTCGAGAGCAACGACCTGAGCAGGTTCCTGTGGAAATCCTCGACTTGGCAACATCTCCTTAGATGACTTAGATGGTTGAAGCGCCCTCGGTCCTGCGGCCCTCCTGCAGCACTCACCGCTGTTCTCACAACATCGCTGTGCGCTGCCGAGCCGCACTCATAAGCTCGCCTGCTGCTGCATCCTGACCATGGCAGGAGCAGTGTAGCAGTTTGGCGCAATACATGCTCACCAAAACCAGCATGCAAATGGTCGCATTGTACGTTATCTGTCCCAGCACAGGTCCGGCCCACAACATGCGCCTCTGGCAAGCACAGACCTGCCAGGCCGCCGACGAGGGCACCCAAACAGCCGCCCAGGCAGCCTGCACCTCTGTACGTGTGCTGACAATCCCAAGCGAGATACCAGCTTCCCTCGTCCATACGCCTCCCGTTTCGCCATGGCCATACAGTTCCACAGTTCCTGGGCTCGCTTCGAGTATGCCACTGAGCCGGAGCTGTCTTGTGGGCTCACGGTGGTCAGCCGGTCTCAAGCCACTACAGCACCAGTTCACAGTGGAATTCGGGCATCTATGGGCTGGACAGTCTGAGTATGTTAGGACTTCATAGCAGGGCCCGAAACCCAAATGCACAAAAGACTTCGGCAAATTGCGAACCAGCAGCGGCTCATTTCCTTCTGCGCCGGAGCCGAACAATAATTGCCTGTGCGAGATTCCAGTCACTTGCCGAGCTTAACACAGGAATTTGGCTGTTTTCCGCTCAACCTCCCCTGCATCACAGGCTCGTCGGACTTCCTGTACAGACCCTCTGCTGCATCAGCTGAAGGTGCACCGGTGTGATGCATTTCAACAGGTGAAACTTCGTGAAACAGCATGGGCACAGGCCACAGCTACATCCATTTCAACACATAGCGAAAACTGATGTAGATGGCGGATACGATCGCGACGCCCAAACCTCAACTCGCAGGCTGCTCTTGTATTCTTGCTTGCTTGCTTGGGGTTTGAGGGGAAAAACCCCTCCGGCGAAAGGACAACCCCCCAAGGCGCGCAGTGTATACTCTGTCTCTCTCTCTCTCTCGCTCTCTCGCTCGCCCGCTCGTTCGCAGGCAGACTCGGGGTCCATAGCCGAGTCAGGCCAGCCACTTGTATCATCTTTATCACATGTGGCTGATTGCGAGGCATAAGTTTAAGCAAGGTGCCCCAAAACAAGCAGTATCCGCGCTGCATATCCAGCCTGCCAAGGCCTTGCAAGCAAATCTGCTGAGCTTATTACCGACAGTATGACAGCAGGGCCTGGTACCACGGGCTTACCGCTGTCGTCAATGAAGTTCATGCCATACATTGATGCCAGCAGCTGCCTCAAGACATCTAGCTCGAGCATATCGAAAACTTACCGTGGCCGGAAGTCAGAAGAAAAAGCTTTGCCGACAAAGCCACAGTGGGGTTGTCATCGTGGTAACCAAGGCAAGAACATAGACCACCTTTGCGCGAACGTCAATCCTGTCATCTTCGCTTCCAGAATCCCTTACCAAATGCTGACCGCCATAAATCAAACCAGGTCTAGGAAAGCGAACAACTGATACGAGTGGCACCAAAAAGGGATGAAGCCCAGCTTTAAAGTTAACATGCCCCAAAGTTCTAAAGCAAACCCACGACAGCACCAACGAAGCAGCCGAAGTTCAAAAACCTACGGGCGGTGTGCGCCACCGCATCAAAACTTCTGTGCAGACTGGCCAAAAGGGCATGCGACTAGTCCGGAACCCTTCTGATCGTAGGACATCTTGACGGGTGAAACAATGGCAGACCATTGTCAACATCAGTCTGCTACACCACGTTGTCACCACCAGACAAGGCCTGGCCTAGGCCTATTGGGCTTAGTCGTGGAGGCACCACTTAACTGCTCGGGCTGAGCGCTTGGGGAGTTGCCGAGGTGCGCCCTGCTGCTCCCGGTCGCGAAAGCTCCGGACCTGGTCCCTCAGAGAGTCGCATACCTCGGCTGCACGAGACCAGCTCGGAGCTCGCCTCAGGAGCCATTTCTCAACGAGATGCCCCGATGCTTCGACTGAGCTCTTCGATGTATGTTTCCAGGTGATCCTCGACATCCTCCAAGTACTGGGTGACCTGGCACTAATCACAATCTAACACGCTCGAAGTCTGCCAGTGCTGCAGCCGGCACATCCCCAACGATCGTCTTGTCGTGGATCATCTGCCGGACAACCTGAAGGTAGATCGAAGAAAGCACATTCGGTGTGATTCCAGTGCCTTCTGCAATCAAGACACACGACTGATCGGACGGACCTTCCGCTGCACCCATTCCAACTCAACCCGTGTCCAAAGCAGCTTCTTCTCCTCAGCTACCACGGGCCGACATTCGTCGGACATTGAGTCGTGGGAAGATTGCAGTACGGACATATGCCTTGTTTGGTGTCTGCCCCGCCCGGTCCAAGTCTCCACATCGTTGTCTGATTTGGCACGGCGCCGTGCAATGTGGGCTGTGAACCTTGGTAGACGGCGCACAAGAAATCAGAAAAGGCGGGTGGGCCAAAAACTGAGCTTTTTGGACCGCTGCTGGGACTGCTGCCACTGCAATCTCGCTCGAAACGCAGCCAAAATCGGTTGCATGTCATCGACCTTGGGACGCAGACCCGGCTGGCACAACGACAAAACCACTCCAACAGTTCCTAAGTTGAAGAGCACAAAGCACGTGGATTCGAAGGCTCAGCCATGGAAGCGCAGAGCCGAAAGCCACTTCAGCTGCGATTGGACAAGCAAGTTGGAAAGGTGGGCAATGGCCAAATCCGGTTTTCCGGTTTGCTGTTCAAGAGGCACATGAAACCATCAAGGTTGTCTGACTCCGGTGGCCGCATGTTCTACACAAGCCGTAAGAAACATCAGGGGGGAGCGTCACAACATGCGGGAAACCGGGGGCACGATAAAGGGCAATCGGCTAGAAGCTGGCATTCCGACGAACAGAGACCTTCGTTCGCAGCCTTTAGATGAATGACAGAGGTAGCTTTTGGCCTGCCGTGCTGCCAGGTCGCGATAACATCGACTACGCGCCACAAAAGCCACGGTGCGTTGCCTGAGCGAAGAACTGAGCAGTCCTCCAGGCCGCGCAAAATGCAAAGGGTCTGTGGCCGAGCAATCTTGCTCTGCTGGCCTGCTTGATTTCCTCCGCGATAGCGTCGAAAGCCTCCGTCGCGTCGTTACCCCGCGCCCGGACACCCGAGACCCCCAGCTCGGCATCGTCCATGTCGCAATCCGATTGCCTGCCAGCACCCTGTGTCGAGCTGTGAGAGCTACAACAAAATGTGCGCGGCACTGCCTCGGTGAAGCCTCCGGAGAGTCTGCGAAGAAACTGTCCGTACCCATGCTTCGCGACATGTCCTCTTCTGCGAATGTGTTTCTGGCAAACCTTGGAGTTGGACAACTTGTTTCCGTCCTACCCATTAGCTTCTTAGATTGGCAGGATTTTTGCTTCGATCCCTGGTTTTGCTTCTTTGTCCTGACATTCTTGGTTTCCTCAGGTAAACCTAGCATTCGGACGTGTGCGTAGGGCAGCGTATACTTTTCCAGGGAAACCTAGGATTGGGTGAAGGAACACCTGGTGGCTTTAGTGCATTGACACGCAGAGATTCTTGGATATAAACTATTTACCTACTCTACAAGAATGTGTGTGTGTGTGTGTGTATATATATATATATGGTAACCCCCCCCCCGAACCACCGACCCACGTTTTGCATCGTAACTACCGTATTAAACCAGCTTTTCCGGCAGGTCCGGATTCCGTATCTCCAAGACTGCCCAAAACCAAACTCGCTTTTCAAGAGAAAGCGCCCGTTAACTC